CCTCCTGCCGGCCACGTCACCGCCACCTCCCATTCGGCCATCAAATTTTGAACCTATTCCGAATTCTTATAGGAGATTTTTTCAGCCCTCCCCGGACAGACTTGGAGATAGAGAAATGCACCGGCGCCACACGGTCGAGCTGTGAAGTCAGAGGCTGTCAGACATTGATGGGGAAACGTTTAACAGGGCGTTCACAGGCGCGCTCAATTTTTAGCTCGTCCTTTTGTTCCGCTCGATCCTGGGAACGAGGAGACGAGCCCAGAGTTGAGCACCTCTGACCTTCTAGCTCAAATACCACGATGTCGTTTGATTCATCGCTATTTTCCCAATTGCCATTTTCTACCGACGTCCCACGCCGACCCCGAGTCACGACAACGCCTGATGGCGGGAGACCCCGAATTGCTGTATTTGATATATCTTTCAGACCATGAGAGACCCTCGGTCACTCCCTATTGAGGCGGTAAGGTTGGGAGGTCGGCGTTCCTTTCTCCTGCGGGTGATTTCACTTTTGAGCTCATTTTGGAACATATTCGCACTTACACGTCCCTCGTCCCGTACCTGCTCTTCAAAAATCGGAGGCATGCCCTTTGGCTTATGAACTGGTAAACCACTTACTTATACCCCGCTGTTACCCGGCTGTCCGGGAGTTAACTTTGAAATCCGCGGGTATCTCACGGCTCAGCCGTTCTCGCAATCAATCACCATCGGTCTCCGACCGGGTCGAACATGGCTTCGCATGCGCCACACCGATGTAACGAGTTTGCCCACCGATGCGGCACTGTGCAAAAAATAAACCAGCCATTCACGCCGTAGATTGGCCCCGGAAAGTGGAATCCATACGCACAAAACAGCTAAGGCTGGTGTCACCGTCAATATTTTGGGAATTCCCTCACCTGATATTGTCCCAAACGCAAAACCTCTGTGATCTCCTAGTCCAGATCACCATCCCTTATGTGGACTTTGTACACCTCCACAGATCTGCCACAGGGTTGTGTTTAACTTCGGCCGTGCACGAGCTTTTGAAACATGAAGTTGGTTATATCGGCACCTTGTGGCTGAAGCGGACAGAGAGAGACTTGCGTAACTACCGGTCTCTTTCCTAGGTACAAACTGATTCGGTAGAGTGTCGAACACTGAAAATATGAAAATATCTATTGAACCCTGACCAACATATATCAATTTATTTTAAAGAAGTTCCGCTTTTGGAGGCCCCTCAATTACTCCACTGGATTTGGAGGTTGTTCTTCCCCATTATTTCCCTCTTTTCTTGCGGAGCTTGAACTGATTTGGCAAACTCACGAGGATCAAGATGATGGTGTGAAAAGGAGATGTGAGACGGATCATTACGGTACCGCGACGCCCCGGCGCCGGTCAATAGCGGAGCATAAGCGACGACGGCTTATGGAATCTGGATTCATAAGCCAACGGGCATGCCTCCGGTGAAATTTAGTCTAAAACGTCTGATGAGCCCGCCTTCTATTTTTCTCCTCAATACCGGTACTGACTATAAAGAGGGCCATCCACTCGGGAAACACCTCAGAGACCTGAACCTACAACCTGAACTTCCCTAGAACCTCTCGCAACTGAAACGTGAGGGATATCATAGACTTGACTTGTGCTTGTTCCACATTACTTACGCTAACCCCCGTCGCAGATGCATCTTACTCAAATTTTCGCTTTTGTCCTCGCCGTTGTAGGGAGCGCGTCCGCCATTTGCGCTGACGGCCAGATCGGGATTGGTGCCGAACAGAGTTAGTCCCACGCGTTGCCCAGGTGCCTCCCATAATAAATCTTCAGTTGTCGAGCATCGGCTCACCTGGGACCGGTACCGCGCCAGGGCCAATTTCTGGTTTCATATGGGCCAACAAACTGCGGCACGATTGCATCCAACAACAAAGACGGCCCTTGCGGGCGGCGGGCTACAGCAATGGTGCCTCCGTGCAATGCAACGGGTTGCGTCTCGAGTGTTGAAACTATGTTATGCATTGGACGTCTGGCTAATTGTTGAGTCATAGAGGAAATCCGTCAGCGGCGAGGACTGGAGACGGGACTTCGTGGACCTGCGTCGGTGGTGGCGGGCAGAACTTGCGGATTGGCGCCGTTTGGTACCCACCTCGGTGTGGACATGCTGCAACCGCAACTAAAAAGACGGTTGCGGTGTACGTCAGATAAAGATGTAGCGCCTTGGACCCAACACAGGAATATCGCACGCATACCGTGCAATAATTGAAATACACGTCTGCTTCAGAAACTTACTGCGATAAACTCTCAAAATATCTCTGTATCACACCTGGATACTATCTAAGTGTATCATGCCCATTATCGAAAAAATAGGGCTAAATGTGGACGGAACATGACATTTGAAATGCGATAATTTCACTCAGAACAAGAGTATTACACCTCAATGATCGATAGTATAAGATTAGCAAGTGAGGGTTAGACCCGAACATATGATCATGGGCTGGGGTTGAACATTAATTGTTGCGACAATTTTGTTTTGTTCATTACTTCCCACCCACCATCACCAATGCACCAGTTCAAAGTCCAGCTCCAGTACCGTCCCCCAATGTACGTCCCTGTTTGTTTTTTTGCGTTTACAAATCTCTCACATTGTTTCTTAATTTGAAGACAATCAATCTGGATCCTCTGTATGTTTCTTTTGTCGTAAGCAGTCGCTCATATCCCCTTCTAGAACCCACGCCTTCGGGGCTGGGTTCCGATCGCGCTGAAGCGGTCGCAAAAAATGACTGCCAATATGGGCTCCTCCAGTACTCCGACGCCGGTTAGGGCCCTAATCCGTCCGTCAGACGGGGACGGCCGTTTTTCAACGGGACGGGTCCAACCCGTCCGTCCCGTCCGTAACGGCCGTTTCGACGAGTTGGAGGAGGGTAGTAGTTGTAAGTCTAATGAATAAATTCTGAGTGATATGAAGATCGATTGGGCACTTACCAGGACCTCTAGGGTAGCTCAGGCCATCAAAATCGTGCTGAGTTTGGTGCGCAAGAGGGCTAATGAGCCGCCAAAGACTGAGGATCGAAAATGCGGCAGATGCCGACAACCTCTTGGATGCAAGTTGCGAGGCTCAAAACCAGATCCACGGTCAAATGGTGAAAAAGGTATGAGTGAAATCCTCTTAATTGCTTGGAGCCATAGAATTTGGCCAAAATTTGAGCCACACTTCTACCCAGCCCGGATGACCCGTCGAACCCGTCACAGACGGGTACGGGTACCCCCGTCAACGGCTTAACCCGTCGTACCCGTCCCGTCTCGGTCCCTCCTTGAACCCCAAGACGGGCGGCTCAAAACCTGTCCGTCCCGTCCATCGACTCGTCAAAACACGGGACGGGTTGAAGCCCTACACGAATTTGCGTTGGATATGCCGTGGTCTATGAGACTCATATCGCGCACCCTTGTCTTGCTCTCCGCCCTTGCTTCCCAATGCCCCCGTCTGTACATTCTCGCCCTAACGTTTGACGCCATAGACATACCTCCCATCGACATCTCGCTTCCCCAGGACAAACTCGAAACATTGGATGTTTCGTTCTCCCGCTCTTCCGACAACGGCGTCACTCCTCACGGCCACCTATATATCCTCCATTTCACCCCAATTTGACCGAAATTGGGACCGATGAAGGCTGTGGGATGACGAGGTTGGACGACAACATTGGAAGTGCTGGAAGGAGATAGAACGACTGGCTCGCGAAAACGCAGAGGGTTTATTTTGGGAAACCGGAGGAAGGTCTAATGCGAGGCAATATGAATGATGAAATGGACCGTCAGTTTTTCTTTGGTTGCATTCATTTACGTTATGGCCATTCGTTCGCGTTATGGCCATTTCACGTACTTTGCATACTCTTTATTATCTCACACCAGGCTTGCCGTTTGAATTTCGAAATCGTCATCTTAAAATTCCCCTGAATGTCTCTTTCCATGCTGTCATGCCGGGTTACTGTTGTTAATATGGCCGCCTGGCGAAATGCATCGCGTCTGACTACGATTCGTTGTCATCAGGAGATTGCAGGTTCGACCCCTGCGGTGGTCATGTCTCTGTGTTCTTGTTTTCTTATTTTATTTTTTCAATTGCTGTCCTTTACTCGTTTATGCGTCGCAGTATTCACCCCCATTTTACCATCGTACTTCGCACTTTCGGTTACTTTCACGTTCGTCCAACGCACACAGATCACCCCCTGCACAGCCAGTCGTTTGTTCCTCAGAACCCTAGCGACCCTCCTGAAGCACGATGGACCCTTGACATCGGATAATTCGATATCCTTAGGCCCTTCAAGGCGATCCAACGCGTGAGGGACTAGATAAGCATCAATTTCATTGGACACTACTAGTACTGTACATTCCGGTGATATTGTAGCCCCAGGCTCTTGAGCTCCAATATGATCCTCCTGGCAAGGCTTCTGACCTCAAATTCATTCCTTGGTCACGTCTCAAACTGAACACTGCCCAGCACATGTTATCAACCAGTAGCCCTCTGGCTACGCTCCTGATCGACATGGTTGGATTCGAGTCGATCTTGTATGTTGTTAATGAATGGCTAATCGGAGTCAATTGTGATTTGGGCCACGAGGTTCTCCACTCTTTACCAAACTCTGTACCACGAAACTCAACGGCCCGAGGCCGAACAATTTGACAATGTCAGGACCAGTTGCGCAATTAGCAAGTCCCCAATTCTGGTACATCATATGATCATGGTATATTGTTCAATACTAAGCTACCGCTGCCGTGAAATCGAACCGAAATTTGGGTGGGTATGTTGATGATCTGAGCTCGACTTTGACAAGGGGGAACACCAAACAGTGCCGACAATGAACTTGCAACAGTGAAGACAGTGAACTTGAGCTTCAAGTGTTGGTTGAAAGTGTTCCCTTCAAGGCAAGATAAGTGATCAATGCTGGTGTGGAATTCAAGAGGATCGTTTGGCCAGGGTGGGAAAGAAAGTGGGCGGAAATAAGTAAAAATGCGAACGAACCGCAAAAGGGATGGGAAAATGACCACCGCAGGGGTCGAACCTGCAATCTCCTGATGACAACGAATCGTAGGTCAGACGCGATGCCATTTCGCCAGGCGGCCATTGGAATTGGCGCGGAGGTTAATATCCAGAAAGATTGGAAGGTTGTTCAGATTCGAAAAGGGTTGAATTTTATTCCGAGGTGGAGAGACGAGGATGGGTGAACGCCATTCAGAATATGTGTTTAGGGTCCCTTTTCTGTTTCGCAGGGTTTCAATGGTTGCAGCACCTGTGATTTAATTTTGACACAAGTTCATGAGCTGAATATTTTTACTTTTCTACACAAGTTGCTGTATGTTACAACCTGTAGTAGCTTATATAAATGGCCCTGAGAGGCGAGGGAATAATATTGCAAGATTAATCTGAAAGAAAAGATTGTTCCAGATTAGAGAGGTTGCGCAAACAGCCAGGCAACAGCCATTTGGGCCATCTGATGGCTTTTTTGATGTGCGCACGTGAATGGCTGATGGCTCCGATAATCTCATCGATTTCCGTGCCATTCGTCGCTCCTACCTCTTGCACCATGGAGACACAACTTCTGGCATCTCTATCTTTCTACGAACTCATTTCTGACCTCCTGAATGCTCTCGATGAACAATGGATCAGCCGCGAAGGAGGATTTCGGCCCAACGGGCGCATAGATCTCTACAATCTTGGCGACGACATCTGGCTTGAACAGTTCCGGTATCCAACATCTTGTCGAGTGAAGCATATCTTTCTAAGTTTGTCTATATGTGCTAGGTTCCACCCGCGAAGAGGTTCATCAGCTGGTTGATGCTCTGGAGTTGCCAGAAGTGATCTATTGCACCGAGTCGAGAAACAAAGAGGACCGGGGTGACAGCACTGTGCATGCTACTTTGCCGGTTAACTCACACATCCAGATTCATTGATGTGGAGATGCAATTCGGCTGGGAGAGATCCCGGTTTTCTCGAGTCACATGTCTTACGGCGTTGATCTTGTGGGGACTGCTGGAAGCATCTCATGCGCTTCAATCCCCAACGACTCACGTGCGAGAAACTCGCTGAATTTGATGTTATTGCAACCATAATTGACGGCACACTCCGTGAAAATGCACGTCCCTCACGGAATCAGTGCATTCGCTACAACAGCTGGAACAACACATGCACTTCTTGAAGTACCATGTGATCCTAACCCCTGATGGAATTGTTATTCATATTTATGGGCCAGTCGAGGGCAGGCGACACGACGAAAACTGTTTTTCAACAGAGCGGTGTCACCCAGCTCTTAGAAAAAACATTTTTGGACACCGGACGGTCGCTCTTTTTATCTATGGTGATCCGGCCATACTGTACCATTTAATTCAATTCGTACGCCTTGTGACCTGTGACCAAAATTTACGAAATTCAGAATTCGTACTTGGTCTGAGGGAGTGTGACCGGATTTTTTTCGTAAATCCGCTGCAAAGTGTGCAGGATGCGACAGAGTTGATAAATCTGCTAACCCGTACTTGTAAGAACTATTATAGACAGTACATAGCTAGGAGAGTTTTACTTCCATTGTTGCTTCACCTTCAGATTGGCCAGAAGGGAGGTGAGCAGATCAAGGAGGCGGAGGGGAAGTGGGAGCCGTGGGCCCCTGCTCCCACTATCAGAATTGGCGACTCCTGTGAATACCGTGGCGTCGTTTACCTGTGCGGCGCGCGGGGGCGAAAAATTCAATTTTTGAGCCATTTTACGGCAATTTCGTGACTAGTTTTCAGAATTTGTACATGGCTGGGGTGACCTGTGACCCGTACGAAAAATTTCGTAAATTTTGAGGCCTGTGACCTGTGACATACGAATTGAATAAAATGGTACAGTACAGTGTTTCTTGCCCACGTCCTCCTCACCTTACAAAGGGGCCGCCGTAACTGCCAAGCAGTCCGTTTTCAACTCGGCCATGAGCCGCTGCAGAGAACCCGTCGAATAGTGCTTCAAAGAAGTCACACAGCAGTTCCCCTCCTCAACTTCTCACGCAATCAGAAAGTTCTTCTGTCATCATGCGGACTATTCTACGTTGTTGGCATGCTGCTCGTAAATGCGCATACTATTCTACACTGCCCACAGATCCCTCAGTACTTCCAATGCCCACCGCCTACGCTTGAAGAATATTTTACAGGTGGCCCGTTTGAAGATGCCAAACTTGATGCATGGTGGGTGTTCCTCCATCACCGTGCGCCGTGCATCTGACTCCATCATTCTGGCTTGTGTATTTGTGAGTACCACAATTCCTTGCAAAAGCTGCCCAAGACCATTGACCATGGTCTCCTGCAGAGCAGGGAACATCGCTGAATCTCCATACTTTCCCTCTTGCCGTGCCTCAGCGATCCTGCAGGCCGCTTGGAGCCGTTTCTGATTCACTGCATTCAGGCCCCTAGCCGGCAGAGGGTGTGTCCGCCACGCCGCGGCCGAGCGCGGCAGACCCGAGGGCGACGTGGTCTGCCGTGGGTGGCCTCCCTAGGTCTACCTGATGCACAATAACCGAGTGCACAATGAAGGCACTCGGAAGTGGAAACCGTCAACAGAACCAGCTCCAGATCCCTCGCGGCATCTTTGCCGACCGTGTGATGTCACCATCACAAGACGGCCGATATCGCCGATGTGGCCCGCTCCACTTGTGTAAGCATTTTTTGCGGAACACGTCGTGTCAATGTGCCTTCTGACATGTGCTGAGTTGCATGAGAGGCCGTTAGGGCAAGAGAGAGAAAACCCGCCGACATTCCAGCCACAGCCCCGCTATGATAACGCCAGGGTCAGCTCAGGCCTCAAGATCAATTATGCCCTTGCAGATCAATCAGTTAGAAATTGGTGAGACAATTCCCAAACGAGCTAACTACATTCCCATGCACTCCAAGGTCACCGCAGTGCAATTTTCTACTGCTAGACAGGCAACCCGAATGACGGACATAAGGGACAACGGCGCCGTGGTCGGAAGAGGGAAGTGAGCTGGGGCGGCAGGGGTTGGCCGCCCCCGCCGCGACCGATGGCGGCAGCGCGCGGTAGACGCTTCTCGGCAGACCCTGTCGCGTAAGGTAGACCGAGCGTAGCAGATGGCAGCCAAGCTCGGCAGCCTCTGCCGATCAGGGGCCTGAATGCAGTGATTGCTCGCATTGCGGGTTTTAACGATCTCGGCGAGCTGGTTGTGACGTCGCTTGGGCTTCGGCTCGACCTCGTCATTTTCCTTGTCTGAATGGCGGTGTCTGAATGATATTAATAAAGGTTTACAAGGACCTGTAACAACATACTTTCTCTGGGCCTGCTTCTCACGGACAGACACACCCTCAAGCGAAGCTACATCAACCAGTGCGTCACGACGGACCAGACCTTTCATCGCACTATCACGTAGCTGTAATGCAGCCGTGGCTTCAACATCGGCCTTCTTCCGAGCGGCAGAAGACTTCTCATCATGTTCCAGGTCTTGTGCTTGGACGAGCTCAGCCACTTGCGCAGTGTACTCCCTAAGGCCTAAGGCCTTAGGTCGTTCCTAAGGCCTAAGGGCTTAACTAAGGCCTTAGAATAAGGCTTAGACTACGCCCGGATTTTCTTCCAATTTGACCTAAGGCCTTAAATGATGGGCACGTGAGACAGACACGTGATTTTTCCCAGCCCAAACATATCATGATTTCATCAGATCTCATCAAGTGGATTATTGCCGCGCTAAGCACTATGTAACTACATGTCGGCATCACTAGTATCAATGAGTTCGGGCAGCTCCTCATTGTCCGATACACTGCTGGCCAGATTGGTTTCCTCGGATGCATCAGTGTCGTGGTGGTTGCGCATCGATTTTAGAAGTGCCTGGGCCTGCATATAGGAAGTTGCGAACCGAGTTCCAGAGTTGAATATGACACTGCTCATGAGATTCTGCCGGTGTAAAGTGCACATTTGGCCAGGCCCACAAACTCGGACCGAGATTTGGATCTGGTGAGGACTGTGAGGTGAGTTGAAGTTTTTGAAGGGGCCTGGGAAATAACTGACCTCTCTCCCAAGAGCAGCAGTTTGAGTTCCCATTCGAGTGAGTTGTGGATTAGAGAAAAAATGTGGGAACATCAATCACGATTGAAACTATATATATTTCCTTTTTGGTACCTAAGACCTGGCCTAAGGCCTTAGAGTTAAGGCCTTAAATGAGCCTAAGGCCTTAGACTAAATCTAGGGTCTCATTTAAGGCCTTAGGGAGGACACTGCGTGACTTGCGTCATGAGCTGGGGAACCACCACCATCAGAATGCGCCCGAGGGGATGGTAGAACACGCACCTCAATATGATTATCCACTTCCTCATCTGTCCCTGTCTTCTGCAACGAACACAATTGATCCGACCGGTCAGCTCGATGATTTCTCTCTTCAAAAGATCCCAGTAAAACTCAGCTGCGCAGATCTGAATTCAAACGGCTCGCAAACTCCATTGAGGTGCAACGGCCACAGTATGGCAATGATGAATGGCCGCCGTCCGTGCCCTTTTTGTCCGAACCCCAGCGGGAGTTGCCCGCGTCGGTCACCGGTATAAATGTCCACCATGCTCACTGTCGGTTACTTCGTTTCGTTTCCCTCACCATCAGCCAAGTGAACCCTGCGGATTCAGGGTCATCATGCGCTTTCGAGACCATCTTGTCGTTGCCATTCCGTTAGTCACTTTTGTTGAAGTAGGCGGTCCACGGCAGTACCTTCAATTTGAAGCCTTTCAAGATCGACCTAACCGACAAAATTCCCCGCCTAAAGTCCCTCATGAACAATACTCGTCTTCCGGACAAGTCTTTGTATCCTGATGCCGGTCCAGAAAAAGGAATTGAATTAGACGTGCTTCGCGAATTACGACACTGGTTGACGAAATTCGACTGGGAAGCGCAGCAAGCGGAATTGAACCAGTCATTACCAGTCAGTATTGTTAGGCTTTTTGAATGTTCTGGTCTGACACTGCTAAACAATTAGGTTCTCGCACTTCACTGCGCTGATCGAAGGGCGAAGTGTGCATTTTGTGCATCAAAAATCCGAGGACCCGAATGTGATTCTGCTGATCTTGGTGCACGGATGGCCAGGTACTGAATTATTTCATTCAAATTG